GGGACACCGGCGGGACACCGGCGGGACACCGCGCGCCACCGGCCCCCGAGCGGGACACCGGCGGGACACCGCGGGGCACCGATTGCCGCAAGGGAGACTTTTGGTCTGGCCGCGCCTCAGCTACAGGAGACTTATTTCTCGCCCGCCCTCGCAGCTTCGCCTCGCCCGCACGCACGGCACGCATGAACACGAAACCGAAACCAATTTCCCGGTAGGGGGGCTCTCCGTTCCACTTCGATCTCACCCCCTCACCTCCGACACACAGGGACGTCAAGGGCGACCAGTACAACAGCAGCCAGGCGTACCAGCACATCAGAACAGCGCGGCAGGCCAGCACGACAGCACGGCGGACAGCCGAGAGTCCCCTCTTGAAAAGAACCCCGCCGTCTGTCCCGCTGCATGCTGGACAGGTAGTTAGGCGTCCTGGGGGACCTCGAGGCTGCTTTGGAGTGTTACGGATCTCCCATGCGCCTCGTTTGAGGCTTTCTTGGATGTTTTGGGGGCATGCGTGGGGCCATGGTGGACGGCAACGATCAACACATGAGAAGGATATCGAAGACGCCTACGATGAATCACCGCTGTCCCCTGCTGTTCGACATACGCCTGCATGGCCAAACATTGGGGCAACGTGTGGTCAAACTATAGGACCATGCGTTCCCCCAGCCGATGTGAAAACCCTTCGGGGAACAGTGGGACAGGAATAGAAGAAGGAGAGGAGGGAAGACAAGGGAGGAAGAGGAGGAAGAGGAGGGGAAGGAAGGAGGAGGTGGAGGAGGAGGAGGAAGGGGAGGAGGAGGGGAAGGAGTAGGAGGAGGAGCTGGTTTGGAGCCGTCTCAGGGTTCTCTCGGGGCCCATGGGTGTTGAAAAATATTGCTCGGAGAGCTCGTAGTAAGACACAGGAAACCTCCATGAGGGCCTTCAGCACGGTGTGCAATGGCACGCCGTGCTTGGGGCTTTCTTAGAAATCTCTTGCGGTGTGATTCCGGCGCTCGTGGTGTCCAAAGGCATCGATCCGGGAGCCTTTCTCGGATTTTAGAAGCCCTAGGATAGGCCTGAGCATAGCCTATGCATAAACCTATGGTGCGGTCGTGAGCCCGTGGTGCGGTGTGAGAGTACCCGGTCGTCTTGAGAATCTCTTGAAGCTCTCTTTTGTTACCTAACAGCGAAGACTGATAGGCTTCTAGTAGGGTCAAAAGAGAGCAGCAGATGACTCCACAGGGGGGTCCGGGCGGCATCCGGGGAGCTGGGTTCGAACTCGTTTTTCGCAAACAGTCACACACTTCGTGCTCTTCGACCTTCCAGAACTCCATTCCCCGGCCACATTCTGAATGCCCGGAGCCAACTGTAGGCCACTTCGTGCTCTTCGACTTCCCAGAACTCCATTCCCGGGCCACATTCTGAATGCCCGGATCCATGTAGGCCACTTCGTGTTCTTCGAGTTCCCAGAACTCCATTCCCGGGCCACATTTTGAATGCCCGGAGCCAACTGTAGGCCACTTCGTGCTCTTCGAGTTCCCAGAACTCCATTCCCGGGCCACATTTTGAATGCCCGGAGCCAACTGTAGGCCACTTCGTGCTCTTCGAGTGCCCAGAACTCCATTCCCGGGCCACATTTTGAATGCCCGGAGCCAACTGTAGGCCACTTCGTGCTCTTCGAGTCCCAGAACTCCATTCCCGGGCCACATTTTGAATGCCCGGAGCCAACTGTAGGCCACTTCGTGCTCTTCGAGTGCCCAGAACTCCATTCCCGGGCCACATTTTGAATGCCCGGAGCCAACTGTAGGCCACTTCGTGCTCTTCGAGTTCCCAGAACTCCATTCCCGGGCCACATTTTGATGCTGATGCAGAGGCTGAGAATGGTGATGCTGATGCTGAGGCTGAGGCTGAGGCAGGCAGGCTGAGGCTGATGAGGCTGAGGCAGGCTGAGGCTGAGGCCGAGGCTGAAGGCAGGCTGAGGCAGACGCTGAGGCAGGCTGAGGCTGAGGCAGGCTGAGGCTGAGGCTGAGGCAGGCTGATGCTGAGGCAGGCTGAGGCTGAGGCTGAGGCTGAAGGCAGACTGAGGCTGAGGCAGGCTGAGGCAGACGCTGAGGCAGGCTGATGCTGAGGCTGAGGCTGAGGCTGAGGCTGAGGCTGAGGCGGATGCAGGCTGATGCTGAGGCAGGCTGAGGCACAGAGGCTGAGGCTGAAGGCAGACTGAGGCTGAGGCTGAAGCAGGCTGAGGCTGAGGCAGGCTGAGGCTGAGGCAGGCTGAGGCTGAGGCTGAGGCAGGCTGAGGCTGAGGCAGGCTGAGGCTGAGGCTGAGGGTGAGGCTGAGGCTGAGGCTGAGGCAGGCTGAGGCAGACGCTGAGGCAGGCTGATGCTGAGGCAGGGTGAGGCTGACGCTGAGGCTGATGCAGGCTGAGGCTGAGGCAGGCTGAGGCTGAGGCCGAGGCTGAAGGCAGGCTGAGGCTGAGGCTGAAGCAGGCTGAGGCTGAGGCTGAGGCAGGCTGAGGCTGAGGCTGAAGCAGGCTGCTGAGGCAGGCTGAGGCAGGCTGAGGCACAGAGGCTGAGGCTGAAGGCAGACTGAGGCTGAGGCTGAAGCAGGCTGAGGCTGAGGCTGAGGCAGGCTGAGGCTGAGGCTGAGGCAGGCTGATACTGAGGCAGGCTGAGGCTGTGACTGCTGCGACTGCCGCTGCCACTGCGACTGTCATCGCGAATGCGACTGCGACTGCGAGAACAGCAGAACTCTACAACTGGATTCTCATCTGAATCTTAAGGGAAAGGCTTCCATATATGCTTCTACACATCGCTGTTAGGTTGCTTTGCCGGGATAATAGCCGTCTTGGGGTCATTTGGGTGTTTCCTGTGCCGTTACATGTTGTCTCGGTGAGCTCCAGCAGGGTGCTTGCATACCTATACGATCACCCTTCGGGTGATGATGAGGTTGTGGGGGGGGAGAGGGGGGGAACCAACATCTGACTCAGTCGATCTCACTATCGATCTCACTCAGCTGGACACCACGGGACACCACGGGACACCTGTCGATCTCAAGATCGATCTCACTCAACGGGACACCACGGGACACCACGGGCAACCGCGGGACA